AGGTCTTCCTCCACCGCTACATGCACGCTGACAGCTCCAATCTGGCACGTCCAAAAGCACACTCTGATCACCCCTCCCAGCTCCGACTGTCCATATCCTCCCTAACCGGAACGAGGGAACCCTGTTCCTCCTGCTCAGGCGCAAACCGCAGTCATTCCTGTGGGCTCACTCTCCCTGACACGCACACCCAACCTGTCGGAAAGCTTCCTGCGGCCTCTGTAGAGTGCAGTCCCTTCTCCCCACCGCCACCACGCTGGCACACGTCAGCATCTCTGTGGCACTGCAGTCCTCCTTGGTCTCCCTGTTCCCTACCATCACTTCTCTACAGCCAGAGCCGTATTTCTCTGCTCCTAACTGCAATGGCTTCCTGTTCCTCTTGAAGTAGAGGCCGAACTCCTTACACGGCCACCAAGGCCCCGTGTGACGCGGCCTTCCCAGCTCTGACCTCGCGCTCCTCTCAAGCCACACTGGCCAGGGATGCGCCTTACAACTTTAGCACCGGCCGGTCTCTCCTGGAAGGCTCCTCCTCCATTTGTTTGGCTACCTCTCTCTGCTTCTTTATCACCCCAGTGAGCTCTACCCTTACCACTCAGTTCAAAGGGTGACTCCCACCCACGCTCCCAGGGCCCATCTCCCTCCTTTACGTTTTCCTTTTACCCACACAGTCACCTTCCGATATTTAAATACATTTCTGTATTTGTTCCTAGTCTATCTTCAGTACTGGAATACTAACTCCATAGGAGCAGGAACACTGAATGCTACATAGCGAATACTCAGTAAGTTCCAGTTAAATGGATAACTGATGTGATTGGCACCTGCCCTCTTGGTCCAAGTTTCAAGAAGAGGTATATAAGAGGTATCACCTTACCTGTGATCTCAAGCCAGGCCGGTCAGACTTGGCCTTATAATGAAATGGAAGTAAAAAATCAGAGTAAATCCTGAGGCTGAAGGAAGTGTGGCCATTTGGGGGTAGCTCTACAGAGCAGACCCTGGTGAGGACGCTCGGGCAGGCCCCCAGCCTGACAGCTGCTCACCTGACATGGTGATGCAGTCATGGGGCTGGGAAAGCAGCTCCCTGGCTTGTCGCCCTCTGCTCTGGGCCCAGTCCAGCGACGCTGGAGACAGGAGGTGGCGGGCGACTTTTGTCTGGCGTTTTTCATGGACGAGTCTCTGTCAACAAGGAGAGGCAGAAGGGCTGAAGTAGGATGTCAACCTGAGCGCTGACGACCTTTCCCAAGGACGCTGGGGGCTTCCCAAGTTACCTGCTAGGAACACACGGGGCCTAGAGGGAGGTCAGCGGTCACGTGTGCAGAACCAGGAAAAGGCGGGTTCAGGCAGACTGCGGCTGCTGCAGTTTCCAAGAGCAGGGGCATTAGGCATTCACAGCGTTCCAGCCCACGCACCATCTCCGGATTCCAGCCATGGCGAGGCCTCTTCTCACCTCCATCTCCCTCCCCCCTTCCTCAGGTGGACTCCGTGAAACTGCGCCAGTCCATCCGCACTGTCCTTTTCAACCAGTGCACGATCTCTCTCCCTGTGGTGGTCTTCCTCTATCCCTTCCTCAAGCGGTGGGGAGACCCCTGCCGCCGAGAGCTACCTACCCTCCACTGGTTCCTGCTGGAGTTGGCGCTTTTCACCCTGACTGAGGAAGTCTTGTTCTACTATTCACACCGGTGAGCAGGGGCCCTGGCTGAGCACAGCTGGCTACTCATCAACCTGCGGCCACTGACCAACAAGGGAAAGGAGGCTTTGAACTGCAGCTACAGGGTCAACACCTTCTGGCCTCAAGCCCTGAGGCCCCTGCCCCTGGGTTTACACAAGACGGCTATTTATCCTATAACTGACAACTGAACACAACCGAGGGATGTTTAGAAAAGAACGGGCAACGCCATTTGTGTGGATGGCAGCTTCCTATTCATTTCTGGTACCGAATGCACACTTTCCGGAATCACCGCCATTTCCCAGCTCACACAATCCGGGCAGAGGCAAAGTAACCTGCCCCCAACGTGCACATGGTGGTGGTGGGGGGTCCTGAGCACTAGTGCAGTTCCCAACTTTGCGCCCCAGATGTAACTTCCACCTCCAACCTTCAGCGTGTTATGGTCTGGCCAGGGAGGAGGAAAAGGGAACCGGCAGATCATTAACTATTAGTTTTCCAGGCTCCTTCACCACCCAACATTCTACAAGAAGATTCACAAGAAACACCACGAGTGGACAGCACCCATTGGTGTGATCTCTCTCTACGCCCACCCAATAGAGTATGTGGTGAGTCCAGCTCGGTGCCCAGGAACCTCACTGAGCCCCAGTCAACAGCCTGCCCAGAGTCACAAAATAACCGTCTCCAGCAAACCTAGGGAGTCGTCCTTGGGCACCGCTCTGGGCAGAGTGGACACCGACTTGGCCCCCTCTCCCCCTCAGCACCGCCTTCAAGTCCTCTTCCTCTTGCAGGCCTCCAACATGCTGCCGGCAACAGTGGGCCCCTTAGTGATGGGCTCCCATTTGTCCTCCATCACCGTGTGGTTCTCCTTGGCCCTCATCATCACCTCCATCTCCCACTGTGGCTACCACCTGCCCTTCCTGCCCTCACCGGAGTTCCATGACTACCACCACCTCAAGTAAGGCTCTCCTCCCCGCAGTGGGTCCCAGGTAATCACCACCGCCCTGGCTTTCAAGCTTCTGATAGCAGACACCCGTGTCTCACCAGCAAGGCGTCATGTGCAGGTGGAGAAAATGACCCCCTTGAACCTTTCCTTCACCCTGATGCTGGGTCCTCCCTCGGGCAAGTGGGGTTCTCGCGCTTTATCTGGATGTTTGCCTCTTTGAGTATCTGATGTAAACTGTGGATGCCATCTCCAGAAAAACGCCTATGTGCATAAACATCTTCTATACAATTCTAGGGCAGACAGCTGTCTGAAATCCTCCAGGCTTCAAGCATGTTCTTTGAACTTCCTGGAATGATGATTTAAGTCTCCTGGAATGCTTATTTAAAATGTGGGCTCCTTGCCAGGCGTGGTGGCGCACGCCTGTAATCCCAGCACTCGGGAGGCTGAGGCAGGAGGATCACTGTGAGTTCGAGACCAGCCTGGGCTCCATAGTGTGTTCCAGATCAGTCTCAACTACATAGTGAGACCCTGTCTCAAAAACAAACAAACAACAAAAGATGTGGGCTCCTGGTTACAACTCTAAATACGCTGGACCGAAGTATCCACCACAGCACAACACAGAAACCTGCTTTCTAACATGTTGTAAAGAGTTCTGATGCAGACAATCCTTGTACCACACCCACACAAACCTAACACCGCCAGGGTTCTCAAACACAGATGCATCATAATCACACAGTGAACTTTCCAAAGGAAGAAGTCTGCAAAGTCCGGAGTGCCCCCGAAAGGTGCATCTGTAAGGATCCCCCAGGTGGTTCTGGTTTGGGTGGTCAGGACGCAGGCATGGGCAGAATGAGAGATAAGTGAGGCGGGACCAGGTGAAACGGAGATCTGGCCACAGGCCTCTGGCCCCCGCAGTTCAGTGCTCTCCTCTCTCCTCCAGGTTCAACCAGTGCTATGGAGTGCTGGGGGTGCTGGACCACCTCCATGGGACTGATACCGTGTTTAAGCAGACCAAGGCCTATGAGCGACACGTCCTCTTGCTCGGCTTCACCCCACTGTCTGAGAGCATCCCCGACTCCCCAAAGAAGATGGAGTGAGCGGGCCCTTGTACATCCTGGCTGTCCCAAGATTCTAAGGCAGCCTGAGGCCTCACGAGTGTACCTAACAATGTGCCTTTAGCCACATACTTTTTTTTTTTTTTTTTTTTTTTTTTTTGGTACTGGGGATCAAACTTGGGTCCTTGTGCTTTGAAGGCAGGTGGTGGAACCACCGAGTTCAACCCTCAGCCCCTAGCCATATACTCTTGATGGCACCACTAGGGCAGAGAGCAGGCCAGCTTGCTAGAAAAGGAGGGCCAAAGATAGAGCCAGGGCTCCCTCTAAACTACTGCTGGGACCAGAAATTGGCTTGAATAAAGAAAGCTCCCAAGATTGGAGGTCCACCAGAGGGAGGAGAAACGGCTTCAAGAGAGCTCCTGCCCAGTCCCCCACATCCTCTGCTGGAGACTTCCCCTGGACAAGGAAGATGCAGAGGACAGAGGTGCCAGTGGCACAGGAGCCTCCGTGGACTCCAAAGAGAGCACCTTCTGGTGCCAGAGTGGGGCAACTAGGTCCCACTTTGCTTCTTTGTCCCTAAACGCTTTTCTTACACCTTACTCTGGCCACAGCCAGGGCACCTTTGCCAGTAATTATAGTTCTCAGTTCTTAACACACCAAGTCCCAGTCTCCACTTCCACACTGACACAGACACACAGGGTCAAAGACGAAGGCCCCGGTGCCCCTCCTTCCCACTGCACACAAATACTGTCTTCAGAAAAGACACAAACAGAAAACCACAAGACTCCCCCCACCCCAGGTTAGAAACGCTACCAGTGAGGCTCACAACAAACCCCTAACACCCTTAGCCTTGTACAGAAATCAAGGTCAAAACCTGAGAACTGTTCAGTGGTGGTTTCTTTTGCTCACAAAGGTAAAGGTGAGAGGCTGCCCTTCAGGGATACCTAACTAAAGCCCCTCACCCATCTGAACCAGACCAAGTCTAGAACCCTCTTCCGCCTGCCAAAAGGAATGCGGGAAAACATGACCAAAGGGCAAAACCCTTTTCCCTCCAAAGGTTAATTAACTGTCTCAGCACCATTCATTCAGGGTGATTTTCAGCCGTGACACCTGTTTAAAAGAAATTTTATTGGTGTCTTTATTTTCAACAAAAGCCCCTGGCAGTGAGACACAGCCAGGAAGCTTATTGTGGTTGTATACAGTATTTGTATTTTGTCACAAGTCTGTAATCCCAGGTCCTCAGAAGACGCTAGTAGAATGGCTCGAGCCCTAAGTGGGGCCAGCCTGGCCAACAGAGCCCAAAATTCTGTTTCTTAAAAGTAAGACAAAATGTTAGTATCTCACAGACCCAACCTCAAGGCCAGCGGTGGCACAAACCTTCTTAGAGCTTTCAATGATACAAACGGCCCACTGTAGCACACACGCTGTAGGCTCGCCACCGCTGCTGGAGGCAGAACTGTCAGGACTGCCCATCAGCACTGGGAGCTCAGAAGCCTTCTTGAGGGAGCCTACTCAACACTTCGTGGGCAGCAACCTCCCTGGCCTTCCACCTGACTGGTGCACTCAGGTCCTGGCCGTAGGACAGCTTACACTCTTGGGCTGAAGTCCATCAAAAGTCCGAGTTCTTACTGCTGCCGGCCGGTACCCAGGAACTGTTCCTTCAAAGAAGCATCTGGAAAACAAAGAGTCAGTCTTCAGTGTGAGAACAGAGTTCGTAAAGACGAAGGTGAAAGAGCCCTGCATTTCTCCTCTTTAAGGTCTTTAGATTTTGAGGCACTGTAAGGGGCCTACTGGGACAAGAGACTTAACTCTTGTTTCTTCTGACACACAGATAGTTGGCTATTCCTTCATAGAGGAGCTTAGCTCTATTCTTGTCTGCATCAAATGGCCCCAAATTTCCAGCAGAATAAACTAATCTCCATTTATTTTAGTATATACAGTAAAACCTTTTGCGAGCGTAATTCCTTCTGGAAGCATGCTTGTAATCCAGAGCGCTTGTGTATCAAAGCGATTCTCCCACAAGAAATAGTAAAAACTCAGATGATTCATTTTACAACCCACAAATTTTCATATATGATAATCGTGCAATACAAAATAATGACAAACTATAAATAAACTAACCCGCACTTACCTTTGAAAAACTTCATGGCTGGTGTGAGACAAGCAGAGGGTTATTGCGCGATGACTTTCACCAACATTAACAGAATCACTGTGATCTGTTGACTCACTAGAATCATTTCCTCTTCCTGCAATTTGTTTTTGGGGGGGTATTGGGGATCAAACTCAGGACCTTGAACTTGCAAGGCAAGCAGTGGCACCACTGAGTTAAATCCCTGGCCCTTTTCCTGTAACTTCAACCTCTCCACTGACACTTGCTTTTGCCTTCTTTTGAGGATTTTGCAGAAATGTGACGTTGCATTGTCATCAGATAATTCTACCACTTGGACTACTAGAGCCTTATTCAGCTGGTGCTTTTCTACAAAACTTTGTACTGCTTTTCACATCTCCCTTATCTCATTTGAGATGAGGGATTCCTCCGCCCTCTCATCCTCCTCTGCAGATAAGATCTCCACAACCTCTTGCTGTTGGGAGACCATCACCCATAATCCCGAAGTCAGAGAGACAGACAGAGGGACGGGTAGCAGGGGACAATCACTGGCTCAGATGTAATCATGCAGTTTGGCGTCACCTACTCATATTGCAAGACAGTGCTCATTTATTAAAATTAGAAATGTTTGCTAGTCTTGCAGGACAAATCACCCACAATCCAAGGTTTTACTGTACCTGTTTTCCCTCCACTACAGGACTTGTCCTGACTCACAATCGTGACACTAAAAGCTAAGAAGTACTAATAGCCAGCAGCCTCTTCCATAACTATCCTAACAGGAATGTGAGGAAGTGAGGATGGACTCATTCATCTTCCTGTCCCCAAAGTACCAATAAATCTGCAGAAGCCATGGACACTATGTCCTGAACTCTTTTCCCTGGCCTATGGAGGCCACTGGTGGCAATGAAATACCTACCCACACGAATGGTGACGGAATTCTCTAGAAAACCACTTTCTAGGAAGCATCAGGCATGGGAGACAAAAGCTATCAGATGAACCATTAAGGCCAGGCCTCATGTGTGATGTAATTACATGAGTGGGGGCCTCCCCGCTGCACCCTCCCCAGCGTCATGTCTGAGGGCCCCGGAGCAGACAAGGACTCATTCAGGCCATGCACGACTTAGGTGTGACTCCTTCACACTCCTGCAGACAAGTGTCCAGAGAGAGGCCATGCCCCTCCGTGAAGAACTTCAGCTTTTATCTTCTTGGCTGTCAAAATGCCAGCTACAGCCAATGGGTGGGAGGTCTGGGAGCCAGGAAGTGGGCTCAAAGCCTGAAATCCCGTCTGTCGGGACTGTAGCTCTCACTCTGTGGCACCGGCTATGGTTCCCATGTTCCACTTAAAGACACAAAAGGTGAACGTGAATCTAAGATTCCTGTGGAGGAAGACGTGGTAGGAGCCCCAGGGAGCCCCTGCCTTCGGGGACTCCCCACAGCCCAAAGCGGTGTCTCAACTGAGATTCATCTGCTCACACGAGCAGGAGATTCCTCTGGCTCTAGAGGCCCCAACTGGGTCCATCTATCACACCCAACAGAAGAGCCCCAAACAGAAGGAAGACCAGCCAGTATTTTGCCTTTTCATATTTTTATTTTTATACATTTTTTTTGTATTAAAAAGAAAAGCATAATTACCACAAATTACAAAGGACTAAAGCAGGACTAGAATAATGAATGAATCACTTCAGCCTGGGAAGCAGATACTCTCAATAATATTAATGTTATAATACAAGCTCATTCAAGTATTTTACATTTTTTTTTTGTCCTTTTAAGTGTGATATCCTAGCACATGGTAGAGATAATGTACTACGAGTGTAAGGTGGAACCTTCTCTGCAAAGCCAGATGACAAGTTTTCCTCTCCAGTGAGAAACGGGCTGTTAAGTTCTTGTCTTCTCTGCCTCTGCCATCAACACAGCTAAAGGAGGGAGAGAATGGGGGTGGGGAGAATCTAGGGCCCCTTCCACACAGGAGGGACTTTGGGGTTCCCATTCAGGAGGGCACCAGACGATGCAGACCACTCTACCCAAGCTTTTGGCAAAAAACTCAGCCACCTTCTAACTACTCATCTTCCTGCCCCTCCTCCCCACTTCCAGGGCCTTCTGAGCAGCTTACTCTGTGAATCAATCGTCAGGAAAGGGGGAAAGCTACAGTGGAACGAAACAGAAACACTGAACAACTTGGAGGGAGGCTCAGCACCTCGATCTGAGCCCCAGGGGTCCAGGCTGGGGCAGGGGTGGGAGGCTTTCTCTACTGGTAGTGCACCTGTCTGCTCCTAGGCGCAGCAGAGAGCAGACAGGAACTGCCCTGTGAGAGCTGAGCCAGCCTCGGAAGGGTGGCGGGTGCATGGGGTCTGGGCAGGCTGCTGCTTTGTGTCTCGGGTCTTAAGACTGCCCTCAGGGAGATGGGTGTAAAGTGGCCCCGATGGTGCTGCCACTCCGGGCATGCTTGTCACAGATACATCGGTCCTAAATTCAAGTGTCTTCAGAAAGTGAGGATGTAAACTACTCTTTGCAACATTAACTCCTAACATGTTACAAAAAAATAAAAAGAAAAAAGTCCCCCTCCCTCCTCCTAGGTTGAGATGAAACCCTCACCTTCCTAACCTACAGGGCTTCCTCCTCCTTCAGAGCTGTCTGAGAGGAGCAGGGAGAGGACAGCAGCCCTGGCCCAGGAGTAAACTAGATGAGAACAGCCTTTGCCCCACCTCCAAGGCTTCCTTGTGCCCCCAAGCCCAGCAGAGGCCAAACACTGAGGTTTCTGTGGTGCTAGATACAGTATGGGGCTGAGTGACTCAAAGCAAAGCAAGAAGAAATGAAGGGCGGGAGTAGGGGGTGCAGGAGTCCAGTGTCTGGTCCATGTGAAGCAGGCACCAACCAGACCTGTCGGGCACAGTCCTCGAATGCACCTTCACAGCAGAAACCAGACACTGCTCCTGGGTGTGAGACCACTGGGCCACAGGAACTGAGATGGGTTCCCATGTGCTGAACACTGGGAGGGCGAGGCCAAAGGAACGAGGCACCGAGACAGAGGGCGAGCCCTGTGCGCCTGGGACACCGTCTCCTACTCCCAAACTCTTGGCCAACAGAGGAAGCCACTGAACAGGGGGGTAAAGACACTGCAGTAACTGAGCAACAAGACCACAGACTTCTTTCTCCCACTGGAGATGAACGTGCAGTCTCGCCTATACTAAACACATGTCCCAGTCCGTGGGCCAGTCCGTCACCACCCTCCCCAGCTTCTGGCAACAGCAGACTCCAGCCATTCCACTGTCACTCACAGCCCAACTCAGGCAAGCAGTGGCTGGAGGAGAGGAGTCGGGTAGGTATACTCTATGTCCACATATACCTTCCTGCCACAGGGCTTCACCAATTGGCAGGATTCCCCCAGCCCCCAGTTCCTCAACCCCCGTTCCCAGGCAGAGTCGATCGGAGGGCAGGTAGAGATGGTTTGCAGAGGGGGGATGCAAGATGGGGAGACCCCACCAGACCAGCGGAGGACAATGACACCTTGAGTCACCTTTTATGAGACAAAGCCTCCTTGAGGTCTCAGGGATCTTTCAGCACATCATGAGAAATTCAGTCAGGCCTCAGCTGCCAGGTGTTCACCTGTCCCCTCTGGCACAGGGGAAGACGCTCAGGCTGAGGACAAGCGTGTTCCAGATCCAGGCCAACTCTGTTTTCCAACAGTCTGAAGCAAACTTGGCTTGGGGTTCCGAGAGCAGGATGAAGGGTATCACAGCAGGATGGGGCCTGGCGCGAGGCAACAGCGAGCAGGGTGAGGACGCGACAGTGGCAGCAGTATACAGATACAGGACGTCAGCCTCGAACAATGCAACAGCAGGGATATTCCGGGCACGGCTCGGACACGAGTCGCCCCAACTCTCTCGCCTCCAAGCAGGAGGCGCTACACATGCAACTCAGTCCAGAGGAGGAGTCTAGCCAGCCCACGCCCAGGCACATCCAGAGAAGGTGGGGCTCTTCGGGGTGGCTCCCCGAGGAAAACAGGCGTTTGGGTATTATTTCACATTCCCACCCCACAATAAGGCAACTTTTAAAAAAATATTATTTCCAAGAACAAAACAGACAAAAAAATTCTAAGGAGAGGGGAAAGACATCACTTTCTATGGATTGGGAAGAGGTTTTCTGATTTTTTTTTGTTTTGTTTTGTTTTTGTTTTTTTTTAATGGTCAATTTTGTCCTTTTTAAAGCCTTTTTTTCTTTTCTTAAAATTTTCCCAAGGATGAAGAGGTCAGAGAAAAATAAAATAAATCATCTTTCAATAGTCTTTTCTGGTACGAGCAGCGTTTCTCTGGGCTGGGGAGCAGGGGAAGTGAGGAGAGGGAGTGGGGAGCATCCTTTGGTTTCCTTCTCCCATAAGGTGGCAGAAGGGCATGGTGGGGACAGCGGGGAGAGAACACGGCGATGGAGAAGCCCAGGTGGTCAAGGGCTGCTGCTCCTGGGGCCCAGGGTGCTGTCAGAGCCTTGCATGGGGCCGCAGGGCCTTCTGGTGGGCTGCATAGCTGGCTTGAAGGGGAGCAAGAGGAAGGAGGCTGTGGGCGGGGACCAGGGCTGCGGCCTACTAGCCGCGGGCAGGGCTGAAGAGTGATTTTGGTAATCCAGACAAACTATCAATAATTTAAAACTTGATATATATATATGTATATATATATATATATAAAAAAATCTCCCCCCTTTCCCTCCCCCCGTAGAAGAAGCCAGGACGGAAGAGTGGCGGAGAGGAGGGAAGGGGATGTGGAGGCGCCTGCCCAGGGAACCTCTAACAGCCCAAGTGGTGTGTACACTGCTGCTCAGCACAGAGGCCCGTCCTATCAACTCCAGGCCTGTCCCTCCTCTGGCCCCTCTCCTGGGACTGGGCACCCCCACAGACACTCACCCACCCCTTCCCCCGAACCCCAGGGGCT